TTGCTTTGGATTAAAACAGGCCTTGCATTGTATTGCAATGGGTCTTTTTCTGGATTGCAACGGGCCTTGCTTTGGATTGCAATGGGTCTTGCTTTGGATTGCAATGGGTCTTGCTTTGGATTAAAACAGGCCTTGCATTGGATTGCAACGGGCTTTGCTTTGGATTGCAACAGGTCTTGCTTTGGATTGCAACAGGCCTTGTTCTGGATTGCAACGGGTCTTGCTTTGGATTGCAACAGGATTTGCTTTGGATTGCAACGGGCTTTGCTTTGGATTGCAACAGGTCTTGCTTTGGATTGCAACAGGCCTTGTTCTGGATTGCAACAGATCTTGCTTTGGATTGCAACAGGATTTGCTTTGGATTGCAACGGCCTTTGCTTTGGATTAAAACAGGTCTTGCTTTGGATTGCAACGGGATTTCCTTTCATTTGCAACAGGATTTGCTTTGGATTGCAACGGGCTTCGCTTTGGATCGCAACGGGCCTTGTTCTGGATTGCAACCGCACTGATTTTGGATTCAATGCACACTATTTTGCGTTGCAGAGCGGCTCTTTCTGGATTGCGAAGCCCGTCGCTGTGGGTTGCGACGCACCACGCTTCGATTTGCAAAGCCGCACGCTTCGGTTTGCAACGCACCTCGTTTAGGGTTGCTGCGCATCGCATTGGGTCTTGCTTCGGATTTCCACCACCCCTAGACAACCTCGAAGCCGTGGGGCAGAAAGTTGCAAAAATTCCCCCACCCCACTGGCGCGTGATTTTTTTCCGTGGGGCTGATCTCCGGGGGTCGCCTCCACCCATTTTTTGGGGGGGAAAAAGGCAATTTCTTCATCGCCAGGGATTATTTTCCCAGGAAAATATCCTTTCCTAGGATGGAGACCACCTGGTCGCTGATAAGCGATGTCAGCAAAAACATTTTTCCGGGGAAATCGTCAAACTCGGATGTCTTAGTAAATATTTGGGCTCAGAAATAGCAAATTGAGTCCCGTGCCCGGGGAAGGCATCCAAAACCAGCAAGTGATTAATTCTGTTTAATTTGTGCTGGATTTTGCATGATTTTCGGGTGAATTTGGTGACCCCGGGGAAGATCGTTGGTGTTGAAAGGTTCCTCGGCAGGTTGCAAGAGGCCAAAATTCAGTGATTTATACCTTTTTTTTTTAAATTGTTTTGGGTTTGTTAGAATTCTTTGGGGTTAATTTATAAATGGGGCGGGCTTTTATTTAATTGCTTTGGGCTTTTATTTAATTGCTTTGAGATTTTGCTTTAATTGCTTTGGGATTTTGCGCTGGTTGCTTTGGGATTTTGCTTTAATTGCTTCAGGATTTTGCTTTAATTGCTTCGGGAATTTGCCTTAGTTGCTTTGGGATTTTCTTCAATTGCTTTGGGATTTTGCTTTAATTTCTTTGGGATTTTGCTTTAATTGCTTTGGGTTTTCTTTTAATTCCTCTGGGATTTCCTTTAATTGCTTTGGGATTTTGCTTTAATCGCTAGAACTCATTTGGAATGATTTGGAAATACTTTGGGGGTTTGCCATGATCGCTTTGGGATTTATTATAAATGCTTTGAGATAACGTCTAATTTCTTTGGACTTACTTTATCATCACTTTGAGATATTATAAATACTTTGGATTTTTTAATAAACATTCCAGGGGGTTCTAATTGCTTCGGGATTTGTTTTAATTGCTTTGGGATTTATTTTAATTAATTGCAGGGGGGTTTCTTCGACATTAATCCCTTCAGGATATTCCCCAGATTTCTCCGGTCGGGTGGGATCACACAAACTCCCTCATTATTGTGGGTTTCTCACGTCAAGTGAAATAATCCAGAAATCGAGCAGCTGCCAATGTCAGCATTTTCCTGCTGACTTGATGACAGGAAAATTTTCTGTGGAAATAGAATGACCTTGCATAGACTTTGCGGGAAACAGCCGAGTTGTGGGGGTTTTTTGTGTTTGGTTTTTTTTTTTTCTCTCTAATATGTTTAAAAAATGGAAGTATTGATGTATTATATTAAAAAAAAAAACCTGCCCAGAAAGAGGGACAGTGGGTGCACAGGGACGCGTGCACGTGGCTGCCGTCAACTTGAGCGAGTTTCTGCCTTCGACGAGCCCCAGAATTTACTTCTCGAGCAGGCAATTCTCGTTTTGACCCAAATTGTTCGTTACTCTTTATTTTTTTTTAATTACTCAGCCTATTGCGATCGCCCTGTGTGAAATAAAGCAAGACCTGGGCTTGTGTTTGTGTCGCCTCCGGAAAGGTTTAGTCCCCCCAGTAATTCAGCCGTACCCTCAAGTTGGAAATAATTTGGGGTATTTCACCATGGGAAATATGTCGGGGTGGAAAAATCACCGTGTTTCACCGTGTTGGGTGGGTTGTTTGACCGGGGAAGCCACGCTGGGTTGTTTGACCGTGGGAGACACGTCGGGTGACCTCTTTCCCCACGGCAAGACACATTTCACTGTGGGAAACCACAATGAGGTGTTTCCCTGGAAGAACAATGTTGGGGTGTTTCCCCACCAACAGTGGAAACAGAGAAGACAATTCCCATTTCCCCCCCCACCCCAGAATTTACAAAGCAAAAAAACCCCCCACAAACCCACGAGAAAAAAACTTTGTAAAAAGGGTTTATTGAATTACCCAACAGCAGGCAGCATTATACTGAAAACAGTCAAAGGGAATAGTGCATTTCTGGAGAAAAAAAGGCTAGGATTTGGGTCTGTGGATCTCAATTTTATGTTTATTTCAGCTTGAGGCATTTCTCTCGCTTTCCTTCAGGCCACTCCGGTGCAGATGGGTCATCTCGCCTTTGCCCTCTACCTGAAGTAGATCAGGTCTTTCAAATACACCTTTTTTTTCTCACTATTTGAGGCCAGATCAAGCGTTTCGCCCTTTTTTTTTGCAGGTATTTGAGGCCATGCCACCTGCTGCTGTAGGCGCCCATCATAGCTCAGTGCTGGTTTTCCTTCTGCGCTTGCAGAAACTCAACCTGAGATGCCGGTTTGTGCCTCGAGAGGCATGAAAACCTCCAAAGAAGTATTTACAAGAAGTGCGGGACATGGTCCTCTCGCGTCAGTCCCCCCCCCGCGTGGTTTCGCCTACTGCATAGGGTAGACGGGGGCTTCCACTTCCATCCGCACGAGGTTGGAGGCACGGCTGAAAGAGACGAAACATGGGCAGCCGTCAGGGCCCCCCCCTTTGAAGAGGAACCAACAGCCCTTCCTCACCCTCGTCATCGCAGAACGTTGCGTCTTCCCCTTCCCGAAAGGTGAGTTTTGCTCAGCGCCACCGTGTTTTTATGGGGCCGGTCTTGCCCTCGGGTGTGGGATTGCGCTCAAAAAATTTCCGAGCCTGGCGGCGTTGTTGGCTTCGTCTACCACGTCATGGATGTCGCCAAAAAATTGCAGTTACCTCCCCACCCACCACCCTGTCGTTGCGACTTTGTCCGATTTCCCTCGGGAGCATCCTCGTAGCCAGCAGCAGAGGGGAAGCAAGGGTTAAATGGTTGGGTTACGGCACGTTTTGGTGTTAGGCGGTGGTGGGGAGGTGCCGTGCAGGACAGGCAGAGCGATGCGGAGGGGCTGGGGAAGGTGGTGGAGCGAGGGGAAGGCGGTGGGGGCACCAGGGCGAGGTGTGCGGGGAAGCAAGCGGAAGGTGGAGGTGGAATGGACGTTGGGGAGATCTTCGTTGCCCTGTAGTGGTGGCTTTGGGGTTGCTCTGTGTTCAGTAAAAATGGCTCTGTAGTGGGCAAAATGGCTCTATACTAGGCAAAATGGCTCTAAATTGGTTCAGTAAAATGGCTCTAAATTGGGCAAAAAGGCTCTATAGTGGGCAAAATGGCTCTATATTGGTTCAGTAAGATGGCTCTATAGTGGGCAAAATGGCTCTATAGTGGGCAAAAAGGCTCTATATTGGTTCAGTAAGATGGCTCTATAGTGGGCAAAATGGCTCTATACTAGGCAAAATGGTTCTATATTGGGCAACATGGCTCTATAGTGGGCAAAAAGGCTCTATACTGGGGAAAATGGCTCTATATTGGGCAAAAAGGCTCTATAGTGGGCAAAATGGCTCTATATTGGTTCAGTAAAATGGCTCTAAATTGGTTCAGTAAAATGGCTCTAAATTGGGCAAAAAGGCTCTATAGTGAGCAAAATGGCTCTATAGTGGGCAAAATGGCTCTAAATTGGTTCAGTAAAATGGCTCTATAGTGGGCAAAACAGCTCTATATTGGTTCAGTAAATGGCTCTAAATTGGGCAAAATGGCTCTATAGTGGGCAAAACGGCTCTATATTGGGCAAAATGGCTCTTAATTGGGCAAAATGGCTCTAAATTGGTTCAGTAAAATGGCTCTATAGTGGGCAAAACGGCTCTATATTGGTTCAGTAAAATGGCTCTAAATTGGGCAAAAAGGCTCTATAGTGGGCAAAATGGCTCTATATTGGGGAAAATGGTTCTATATTGGTTCAGTAAAATGGCTCTGTAGTGGGAAAAATGGCTCTAAATTGGGCATAAAGGCTCTATATTAGGCAAAATAGTTATATTTGGCAAAAAGGCTCTATACTGGGGAAGATCACTCATTATTTGGCAAAATCACTCTGTTCAACAAGAGCAACTTATATTCAGCAAGAGCAACCTATATTCGGCAAGATCACCTTATATTCAGCACGATTGCTCTATATTTGTCATGATGGCCCTATATTCAGCTGGATCACGCTATATTCGGCAAGATTGCGCTGTATTTGGCAAGATTGCGCTGTATTTGGCAAGATTGCGCTGTATTTGGCAAGATCACCCTATATTTGCCAAAGTTGTCCTATATTCGGCAAAATGGCTCGGTATTTTGCAAGAAGGCCCTGTGTTCAGCAAGATTATTTTATATTGGGCAAAATTACCCTATATTCAGCAAGACCATTCTATACTTGGTGTAACCTATCTAAATTCAGCACTCACTCTATATTTGACTCTGCTTCTCATGGGGACAAACCCGAGCAGCTTAGCGAAGTAGAAGGCATCCCATGAGACACCAAAGAACTATTTTTTTTTTTCAGCTTGATCTTGGCTCAGTTTTTCTTTCTACAGAGAAAACTTCCCCGGGTGTCGTGATTTTGGTCGACAGCCGTTTCGTACGGGATGGCCGACATCGAAGCTAAGGCTTCGGGTGTCTACTCCTCATACGCGTCTAAGTCTGGCCCATGCTGAGGCGCCAGAAACCCCCAATTATTCAGGTAATTAATTAGGGAGGGTCGAACAAACTAAGCCTTATCCAACCGTGGGGCTGCAGGAGCATTTGTAGTGTGAGATGTGACAGCAAAGAAGGACAAGAGTCACTTACCAGAATAATTTCCTTGGGTTTGTGTGTGTCAGTCACTGTGGATGAAACCAAAGAAGATGGAGAAGTCCTTTCCGGATGCCGCCTAAGCCCAACCCGTCGATGCCCCACGGAGGTTGTTCCCTACCCTCTTGCTTGCCCAGGCTTAAAAAAATATCAACCCATGGTTTGGTTTGGGAGGGGGTGGTGGGTCTTTTGGGGTCACTCACCATCCCGCAAAATCCCTGGCTTTCCAGGCATCGACAACCTCTGCGATGTTCCTCACGGTCCGGCCATCAGGCAGCTTCAGGTCATCGCTGGGGTCGCCATTGAAGTTGCCACAGGGAGCGCAGAGTCGGTTGACCAAGGAGGCCCCTACGGTCACCGTCACCTCCCCGTTGGGGCTGAAGACCACATCCATCCCTGACGTATGGGAGACGGTGATGTTCCCCGCCACCGCGCTCAAGGAGATGGCATCGGACACCGCAGTTGGAAGGCGGGTGAAAAGACCATTCACCTGCAGCGAGGCAAAACGCCAAAAATGGGTTAAAAATATCCAAGACCGCCCCGTAAAAATAGTACGGCACAAAGTTATCGTTGGGTTGAACGCCTAAGAGCGACAAAGGGAAGAGGAGATAAATCCCACCCCAATTCCACGTCTTAATTGAATTACTCGACTTGCTCATCCGCAAGGGTTGCCCGTCCCCTACCTCGACTTACCCACACCTCCATGTTGTTATTCACAGTGATGAAAGCTTCGCGGAAGAAGATGAAGACGGCCACGGCAGCCGGGATGCTGTCATCCCGGCACTCGCTGACATCCACCACCACCTTGAACCAGTTGGGCGACTGCTCGTCGCAAAGGGCGGCGACTTTGTAGGTGCCGCTGGCCAGGAGCTTTCCACCGGCGCCATCAAACGTGGTCAAGGTGGCCCCCGGGGAGACCCGGCACTGACCTTCCCGCCTGACGCACTGCTGTACCCCGTCCCGCGTGGCACAGACCTCGTCCGGCGGACACCGTATGTCCTCACAAACGAGTCCCTGGGAGAGGTGGCAATTGCATTTCTTGGAGCAGTTGCTGGAGATGATGGTCTCGCCCGCCTGGAAAGGAAAGGCTCAGAGGTTAATCCACATGGACAGCATCTCCAAATTTGGGGAGGAATTTCCCACCTTCAAGCAGGGAAGAAATCCCAGAGAGAGGAAGAAAAACCATGAGGTGGATTTGGTGGAATTTGTGAAACTCAGTGGACTGATTGTCCTTTTTCCCCTGGTCCAGCACAGCAAAATGCGCATTTTAGGATGTTATTAACTGCATTATTTTAGACGTGTGTCCTTAAAATGAAGTCGCAACCCACCTCATTGAAGGTCGAGTCCCAAAACCGGTTACATTGACTAAGCGGGACAACCAACCTCATCAAAGACGGAATCCCCAAACCCAGTCCATCATCTAGATGGGACAACCAACCTCACCAAATGAGTCCCCAAACCTGTTGCATCATCTAGATGGGACAGCCTACCTCACTGAAGATTGAGACCCAAAGTTAGTTGCATCAACTCAATGGGACGACCCAACTCCTCATCAAAGATTGAGGCCACAAACCAGTTCCATCAATGGGACGACCCAACTCCTCATCAAAGATTGAGGCCACAAACCAGTTCCATCATCTAGTTAGGACAACCCACCTCATTAGAAGACCGAATTGCCAAACCAGTTGCATCACCCAGATGGGACAACCCACCCCACATTCCTTCCTCAACCTGATTTCCACCAAAACTGCCTCGATGGTCAACCTTACCTTGAAATACCGTCCCTGGTGCATGCAGCCGCACTGCTCCAGGGACACGCAGGCTTCTCCATCGAAGAGGTAACCGTCATCGCACTGGCAGCCCTCAAAGCACGTCCAGCTACATGGGGCTGGCACGGATAGGCTGGCGCAGGTGAAGTCACAGGTACGGGTGCAGAGCTCATAGTGACTATGCGGCGGGCAGGAGAGGGCTGGAAAAAGAAAAAAAAAAGAGAGAAGTACCATTATTACCCCCCCCAAAAATTATGACCATTTTTCCCGCACCCAGTGGAGCATCCCCATGGCTGACCAATGGTCTTGGGCATCTCTGATGGCTCCAAAAGGTGTTAAGCCAATTGAATCCCGCTTTTAACATCCAAGTTAAAGCATCTGTGTAGCACTAAGCACCTCGAGGCAAAGTAGAGGGATGTCCATCTCGAACTCATTGGAGTTTTGGAGGTGGGAAGCTGGAATTTCTTTCTTCCAGGGGGTTTTGCGTGGGAAATAGGTGATTGAAGCCCCAAATTGAGCTTTTCAGGGGGAGGTTTAAAAATAATTTCTGGGCTATTTGATAGATTTTGGGAGGGAGTTAAGCAAAAAGCAGCCTTGAGTGATATTACACAGGTCATTCGTATGTCGTCTTGGTCCAGACAGTGAAGGTGAGTTTGCCTCAAAAGCAGGAAATTGCAAGCGTGGCAAAAGTGGAGGATTTTTTTCAGGGGGAAAAACGTGACTTTGGAGGAAAACAGGAGCTGAAGTGGCTCCACGGAGTTTATTCCAGAGCACTTACGGCAAAAAGTGGTCGTTCTCCACCTGCCGATCTCGGCCCCAGCGGCTTGGCAAGCGGCGACGTAGGCTTGGAGGCTTTGGCACAGGATGTCCTGCGCGCCGTTGGCGGCGCAGACGTCATGGACGCAATGGTTGAAATACTCCACCGGGCTCACCCGTGGGTGACAAGACCCAAAAGGTCCCGCCGGATCCCGGATGAGCCCACAGGAATCGCCGGCGCCGTAGGGAGCGGCGTCGGCGGCGTCGCACGCGGGGCAAGCCTTGCCGTGGCAGCCGTCGGTACACGCTCGGTCCTTCACCGGCGTCTTCCAGGAGGTAACGAATTCCTCGGTGCTCTGCGCCAGGGAACCGCCGGGCAGCTGGAAATCGTCACCGGGGTCCCCGTTGTAGTTGCCCCCCAGTCCGCACACGCGACCCCGGTAGGAGTCGGGGATGGTGACGAGGAGGTAGGTGGCCGCGTTGTAGAGGAGCCGGAGCCCAGCGGCCGACTGGAGGACGACGTTGTTGCCTTCTTGGCCGATCCGTAGCTTCTTGTCCTCCGTCACCAGCGGCAGCGTGTAGCGCTCCCCGTCCACCTGGGATGGGCACAAAGGATGGGGAGGGGTTTGCACGCATGCGTGCGCCAGGGAGGTTTGGCACGCACGCGCGCACCAGGGGATGTCGCACCAGCGGACACAGACATCCCGAATTCTGGATCGGCGGATTTTGCATGCATGCACCGGGCAAGTTTGCATGCGTGCACCGGGCGGTTTTGCATGCACGCATGCACCGAAGGATTTTGGACACGAGGGATTTTGCACGGATGACCGCGCCGAGGGATTTCGCCCGCGCGAGACCCCTCCCAACTTACCGTCACCTCCCACTTCTTTCCCCTCTCCATGCCGACCGTGTACCCGTGGATGGAGATGACCACCTTCTTCATCAGCGCCACGTTACCCCGACCGCCCACGTCGTGCTCCAAAACCACCGAAAAATTCGTCAGCCGCCGCTCCGGCTTGCAGACCCGCGCCAAGACGTAGGTGCAGGAGCCCTGGAGGTCGAAGGCTCTCCCGTCGAACGTCACATAGTGCGGGTCGCCGGAGACCACCAACCGCCCGTAACCGGCGGGGTAACACCCCAGCACCCCGTCCTCTACTCGACACTCCTCGTGGGCGCTGCAGAAGACCTCCTCGCACTCCACCGCCCCGTTGGCTTTGCAACGGCACCTCTCCCGGCACGAGGCGTAGAAATCCTCCCCCTTCTTGTAGTAGCGGTCCCGGTGCTCGCAACCGCACTCGCCCGCCGGCACGCATTCGTCGCCGCTGAGGACGAAGCCCCCGTCGCAGAAGCAACCTTCGGTGCACGGCACCGACGCGCAGCCCTCGGGGGGGACGGCTCGGACCCGGCACGTGGCCGGGCAGCTGCTGCCGCAGAGCTCGTAGTGAGAATGAGGGGGGCAGGAGGGACCTGCGTGAAACGGAGGAGAAAAATTAGGGAGCCCAGCTTGGATTTGCGGCTGGAAGCGTCAGGGTGAGTATTTCCATCGTTGCAATGGAGTTTGGGGGGGGCAGGTGCAAGCAAGTCCTTGGTGGGGGACCATCAGTATCACTCTGGAGGGTGAAGGGGATTTATTTTGCATTCCCTTTCCTTGCATTAATAAAATACGTGGCGGGCGATGGGGATTTATTTTGCATTCCCCTTCCTTGCATTAATAAAATACGTGGCGGGCGATGGGGATTTATTTTGCATTCCCCTTCCTTGCATTAATAAAATACGTGGAGGGCGATGGGCATTTATTTTGCATTCCCCTTCCTTACATTAATAAAATACGTGGCAGGCGATGGGGATTTATTTTGTATTCCCCTTCCTTGCACTAATAAAATATGTGGTGGGTAACAAGGATTTATTTTGCATTCCCTTTCCTTGCATTAATAAAATACGTGGAGGGCGATGGGCATTTATTTTGCATTCCCCTTCCTTGCATTAATAAAATACGTGGAGGGCGATGGGCATTTATTTTGCATTCCCCTTCCTTGCATTAATAAAATACGTGGCAGGCAATAGGGATTTATTTTGCATTCCCTTTCCTTGCATGAAGGAGGAACGCGGAGGGCAATACTGATTTATTTTGCTCTATTGCATGAAGGAGGAACAAATTTTGCTTTGGAGATGAGTTGGAGGAAATTTTCCCCCCTCCGTATTTGCATCTAAACTCATCATTTGGCCTCGGGGCTGTAGAGGGAGAGGATAAAATATTTTTTTCTGGAAGGAATGGTTGAAAACGGGGCAGATAAATCCTATTTTTTCATCAGCCCAAAGCCTAGGGTGCAAATTCGAACAATTCTTGAGTGGTTGAGCATCAATATCGCTCTGAAGAGCGACGGGGACTGACTTTGCATTCCCCTTCCTTGCATCAAGGAAGAATCTGGAAGGCAATGGGGATTTATTTCACACCGTTGCGTGAAGGAAGGAATTAATTTTGCTTTGGAACCAAGTTGGAGAGGATTTCCCCACATCCATATTTGCATGTTAACTCATCGTTTGGCCTTGGTGCTGGGGAGGGAGAGGATAAGCTAATTGCATCGCAAGGCGATGTTGGACAAAAGGGCAAATAAACCCAATTTTGGAAGCGTTTTGTGTTTCCATTGGCTCTAAGCAAAGCCAAGAGCGGGCAGTTGGGCTCAAAAACTTATTTTTATGGCCAAGCGTGGGGGGTGGGGGTGGTGGGAATCCCCTTCTGGCCCCGCTCACCGCAGAAGGGCGGCGTCCTCCACTGCTCCACGTTGACGCCACGGCTCTGGCATTCCGTCACGTAGGCGGCGATGGCTTTGCACAAAGTGTCCCGGTGGCCTTTGTAGTGGCAGGCGTCGAAAGCGCAATCCTCAAGGAAAGGCGTGGGGTCGATGACGTCATGGCAAGCCCGGAAGGGCCCCCCGGTTTTGGCGATCACCCCGCAATAGCCGTCGCCGCGGTAGAGCTCTTTCCGCTTCTCGTCGCACACCGGGCAATCCCCCACGCAACCGGCCGAGCAACCGGGGACGTCTCCCACCTTCCAGCTATCGGCCAACTGGATTTCATCCGCCGCCCGTTTACCGTCGCGGGTGATGAAGTCGTCGCCGGCGTCGCGGTTGGCGTTGCCGCAGAGGCCGCAGACGGCGCCGGCGTAGTCTTCGGGGAGGATGACGCGGGCGTAGCTGTACCAGTCGAAGCTCACCCGCATGCCGAAGGCGGTGCGGGCGAAGCCGTGGACGCCGCTGTGGTAGAGCTCGAACTGGTCCTTCTGGGTGAACGGGAGCTCCACGAAGATGCCGTTGACCTGGAGAAGGTGGAGGGGGCGGCGGTGGCACCGTTAGCCAACGGCTCACGCAACCCGCTCGAGTTTTGGGGCGGTTTGGGGGTTTTTTTGCAAAACCTTTCGCGCGGGGAAGATTTCCGTGCAAGTGCGAATCAGTTGAGATTTGGGCATTTTTGCAAAACCCTTTGCACGGGGAGAATTTCCAGGCAAATTCGAATTAGTCAAGTTTGGGGTGGTATTGGTCAACACTTTGCGTAGGGAGAATTTCTGGACAAAACGCAAATTGCTTGAGATTTGGGGGTTTCTGCAAAACCCATGGATTTCCAGGCAAATGCAAATTACTCAGGATTTGGGTGTTTCTGTAAAACCAATGCAAATCCCTTGAGATTTGGGCATTTTTGCAAACCCCTTTGCACGGGGAGGATTTCTGGGCAAATTCAAATCAGTCGAGTTTGGGGTGTTTTAGGTCAACACTTCATATGAGGAGAATTTCCATAAAAAATGCAAATCGCTTGAGATTCAGGTGTTTCTGCAAAAACCTTTCGCATGAAGAGGATTTCCAGGCGTAGGGTTCTATATTAAGTGGAAAATATTATTGTTCAGCGAGAGAAATACAGGAAAAGTTGTAGCTAACCCTTTTGTGCAACACTTTGGCTAAAACGAGGCAGGAATTGGACCTTTCCCAAATTAATTGAGTCAGTCTGCAGCTGTCAGGAAGAAAGGAAATATAAACTCAGAAAGCCTCGTGGGAGCAAAAAAAGGAAGCCGAAGACGTCAAGCAAAGTGGATGCTTTTGAATGTGGAAGTATTTTTGCTATTATTCATGGATATTTTTCACTCGCTTAGTCTGCCAGAGCGAAAATTGGCTGTTTCTAGGACACCATAAACAAATTGTAGGTTGATTTTTTTTCTTTTTTTTTATACGAACTTCTTTAAGTGTTTAAAAATAAGGTGTTTAAATCCAAACTAGCTGCTCAGGGCTCCCTCTGGAGATGGCAGACAGAAACCGATGCTTCCACAGCGGTGCGCATGAGGAAAAAAAGGGCGATTTGGGGGGAAAACATAGCAAATAAGCAGTTTAGATGCAAGCTGCACGAGGTCCTACCTTGACCTTGCGCGGATGCTCCTGGCTCATGCTGATGACGTTGCCGTAGACCTCCAACGTGACGGCTTTGGTGAAGGACACGGCTTTGCTGCCCCGGTTGTTGTTCTCCACCTTGACGGTGAAGGGGACCAGTTTGGGGTCCTGGGTGCAGAGGGCCGCGAACTGGTAGATGCAAGTCCCTTGGAAGTCGTATTTCAACCCGTCGAAGGTCGTGTAGTGAGGGTCGCCCGTCCCGATGCAGGTAAAATACTTGTTCGCCTGGCACTTGGGGACGCCGTCAACCGTGACGCATTTCTCGTGGGCTTTGCACCCAGCCTTCTTGCAAGCCACCTTCCCCCCTGCCTCGCATCGGCACCGGCTCTGGCAACTCCCGTCCTCCCAAAATTCCTCCCTGACCTTGTAGGACCGACCGTTGTGGAAACAACCGCAGGTCTCCACCGGGACGCAGGAGTCGTTGTGGAGGACGAAGCCCTCGTTGCACCGGCAGCCGGCCGTGCACGGCTCGCCGCAGGACGCGGGGGCTTTGGGGTCGGTGCAGGTGGGGGGGCACGCCGTGCCGCAGGCTTCGAAGTGGCTGTTTTGGGGGCATTTCTGAGCTGTGGGAGAAGAAGGTCTCAAAAAAAAGGGCAACACAAGGGATGAGCTCAGCGCTTTCCTTAGAGGGACGTCAGGCTCCTACGTTGGGTCAGTTGATGTCCAAAAGTGATTCAGACTCACCGAGACCCCGTGGACGTGGCCCTCAGGAACCTGCCCCCCATAATTTTGTGTGTTACGGACATCTGAAGTCAGATAAGGTGCATTTTGGGGTGGTTTGGCATGAAAAGAGCAACACAATCCTTCCCCAATGTTGGTTAAGTTGACGCCTACAAGCATCAACTTGGTGGGCTGGGCAGCAGCTCTCAGGCACCCGTGGCCAGATCCCTGTGTGGATCCCCTTCTTTTTCCCCCCAAAATGCTTAGGGACCCCTTCCATCTGAACTCACCGCAGCCTGCTGTGTCCTGCAGCGTCTCCTGGTCTTCACAATCATCTTGGCAGGAGGGATCTCGCCAGCTCTCAGCCCAATCCTCCACGCTGGAAGCCTGAGCTCCATCAGAAAGTGTCACCTCGTCCTCCGAGTCCTCGTTGAAGTTGCCGCAGAGTCCACAGGTGCCCCCAAAATAACTGCTGGGCACCGCCACCATTATGGCCCAGTCTTCATCGTAGGTCACCTGCAGCCCAAAATCCGTTTGCAGGATGGTCCGACCCTCGTTTTGGGAGATCTGGATCTTCCCCGCTTCCAGGGTGGCTGGTAGGTTGGTGGGTTTGTTGTTGACCTTGGGGGAAAGGAGAAAAAGAAGGATTAAATCTCATCGGGGGGTGGCTTTGCTGAGAGTTCACAACCCCCAAAAAGCATCTAGGTACAGTCAGAAAGAGAAATTTCTTTCAGGAAGAAGCAATTATCAGCATAAACCAGCCATTTTGCTGTAGATACGCAATAGGCTTTAGCGGGAAAAGATCAAACCCCAAATGTGTCATGGGAAAACCATCTCCTTCAAATTCTGAGCTTAAAATCTCGTTTATGTTAAGACCACTGAACTCTACGGCTGGGAGAAACCTCGTCTAACCTTGTAAAATGGACTTTCGGCTCGCTTAGACTCCCTTTTTGTGGTAGATCTCCATGGCTAGCACACCCCATGGATAAATCCAGGCTTACAGTAGAGTTGCACCCTTAAAATTGCCTTTTCCTTGATGCTAACCAAAAAGCAAGCATGCTTTAATTAAAGACACCTCGAGTCGTGTGCAAAGTACCCTCTCCTTTGCCACGTCTTGATTTGTAACGCAAAATTTCCCAATACTCCGTGGTTTCTGTGCTTCTCCTCATTTTTTAATTTCAGCCTCGCCCGCCACAATGTTTTATCCGCTTCCACTTGGCACAAAAGGCTTTCTCCAGAATAACGCTGCCACGGCCTGGAAAAACCTACCTGGATTTTACCTCCCTCTCCGATGTGGATGGAGATGTTGTAGGAGTACACGTAGATGTGGGTCAACCACTCCTTCAAATCGCCTTCGCTCTTCTTCTCCTCCACGACGAACGGCACCAGGGTGGGATCGTTGCCGCAATACTTGGCGATGGTGTAGGTGCAACCGCCCCGGATGTCCACGGTCATCCCGTCGAAGGTGTGGTATTGCAGGGACTGCGACCCCATGCAGGTTCCCATGTAGTCGTGCACGCACACCGCCTCCCCCTTCTCCATCTTGCACGTCTCCTTCGCGCGGCATTGGACGAGCTGGCAGGGATCTGGAAAAAAATCACACAATGATTATTTGGACATCTGGGTTGATCGCTTGAGGCTCTTTTCATTGACTGTTTAATTACAGATGATTGATTTACAGATAATTTATAGATTAAAATTTATCCCGGGTGGGTTTAGCCACCTTAAGCTTAGACTTGGAACATCTGGATTGATCGCTTGAGGCTCCTTTCATTGATTGTTTAATTACAGCTGATTGATTTACTGATTAAAATTTATCCTGGGTGGGTTTATCCACCTTAAGCTTAGACTTGAACATCTGGGTTGATCACTTGAGGCTCCTTTCATTGACTGTTTAATTACAGATGATTGATTTACAGATAATTTATAGATTAAAATTTATCCCAGGTGGGTTTAGCCACCTTAAGCTTAGACTTGAACATCGGGGTTGATCACTTGAGGCTCCTTTCATTGATTGTTTAATTACAGCTGATTGATTTACTGATTAAAATTTATCCTGGGTGGGTTTATCCACCTTAAGCTTAGACTTGAACATCTTGGTTGAACACTTGAAGCTCCTTTCATTGATTGTTTAATTATAGATTATTTCTTTATAGGTTATTGATAGATGCTATATTTATAGAAGTAATAGCCTTTCCTAAAATGGGCCAAAGCCATGTTGGATTAATTACCCCCTTTTAGACCCGCCTATCCTTGTGCTCCACGACAAAATCTTGAGTTTCAGCTCAAAACAGCTAATTTTAGATACTTTTCTAGATGCGAGCTCCGCGTTTATCAGCTACAGAGATGGAAAGGGGATGTTATAGGCACCCGGCTCGGAGGACAAAATTTTGACTCCTAAAAATGCGTGGGTTTGCCTTGCAGGAGGGAAGCAAAAAGGGGGTTAAAGGGGCTGGAGGTGGCCACGGGACACTCACCGCTGTCGCAAACAGCTGCCGACCCGTAGGCTTTTTGCTCCCGAATCCCTACGCTGAGCAATCCAAAGGGAGACGTCTTGTGCTCCACCGTATGGACGGCAAAATGACCGCCCAAACTCTGCCCGGCCCACGAGTAATCGGTGCCCGGGACAGGTTTCCACGCGACGTTTCTCAACGGCGTTTTGTTGAGCATCAACCCGGATGTCTCCGAGGTTTTGGCGATCAGCAGGGCGTAATTATCGTAACCCTCCAGGGCAAAGATTTTGTAGGAGTGGCAGTAGCTGGAGACATCTGGGATGGTCATAAAAAACGGGTCGTAAAAGATGGCATCTTTATTACCTCCGTCGGCAAAAAAAATGACCTGGATGCCAGCGTTGGCAGAGAGGTACAAGGTATTTAAGGCTTGGAGTCCGTAGAGCGTTGACCGGCTGGGCCGTAGCTCCCGAACGGACTTGGTCACCCCGTGTTGAGACTCCACTCGCGTCGGCTGGGAGGTGGAGACGTAGACGATGTCAGACTGAGTCTCGAAAGGCAACGGCGGCACGATGAAGGTGGTGCCCCAGCTGGAAAGAGGTTGGAGCTGCTCCACCAAATGGTCGCAGTGGGCGAACCTGGCCAAGCAAGTGTGGCCAGTGAAGACGGCTACGGGTTTTTGCGCCACGATCCTCGTGCCGGACATATCAGATGGGCTTTGGAGCTGGGCTGCTTGGAAGGGCTCCAGTCTGATGGAGAGAACTGAGCCCCGGGGGTAAGACCGGCCTTGGTAGGTCACCGCGGCTTTGAGGTGGACGTCAACCACGGTGGGCTCGTCCCAGGCGGCCACCACGAACTCGCCATAGCGGTCGGTGCCCACGTTGGGTGTCACGACATGGTACTCTGTGCCCCAGTTGTGCACCGGGTAGACCACGGCTGAGTCAACCGAGGTGGGTTTCTCATTGACCATCACCAAGGAGATGGCGTTGTTGGCCCTCACCACCACGGTGTTGTCAAAGGTTTTACTTCCCACCATCTCCGCTTGAGGTGGGACCTTCACCAGGATGGTTTGGCCTGTGGTCACCTGCACCGTCATCCTCAAGCCCGGCTTCTTCATGGAGATGGTGACAGACGTGAAGGGCGAATAACCTGTGATGAGCAGCTTGAAGTCGCTGTTGAGGGTCTGCTGCAAACCGTTTTGCATGTAGGCCACCACAAAGTCTTCCCCCAGGTGATGTGGAGCCGACGCAGCGACGTTGAGCAAGTAAAAAACACCTAGAAAAGCCCGAGGAAGAGGAGAATTTGCCATCAGTGCCTTCATCATCCATAAAGTCGGATTGGGCAACCCTAGCTGGGGACCAAGACTCAAGTTGGGGTTGAGGTGGCACCCGATTTAATCTTGGAGGATAAGGAATAGCGATGTGGTGGGCTATTGATTTGACGGGATATTGTTTTGGAGAAATAACCATTTTAGTTAACATTGATTTGATGGACTCTTGATTTGATGGACTCTTGATTTGATGGACTATTGATTTGATGGACTATTGATTTGATGGGATATTATTTTGGAGAAATAACCATTTTAATTAACATTGATTTGATGGGCTATTGATTTGACGGACTCTTGATTTGATGGACTATTGATTTGATGGGATATTATTTTGGAGAAATAACCATTTTAATTAACATTGATTTGATGGACTCTTGATTTGATGGACTCTTGATTTGATGGGATATTATTTTGGAGAAATAACCATTTTAATTAACATTGATTTGATGGACTCTTCATTTGGTGGACTCTTGATTTGGTGGACTATTGATTTGATGGGATATTATTTTGGAGAAATAACCATTTTAATTAACATTGATTTGATGGGCTATTGATTTGATGGACTATTTGACGGACTTGATTTGATGGCTTATCAAGTTGGAGAAATACGGTCTGTCAATTTGAAAAAATATTGAATTGAAGAAATTATTTTGAAGGAGTATCGATGGAGAGGACTATCAATTTGAAGAAATAGCAATTTGAAGAAATAGCAATTAATTCCCCGGGCAAAAGATGAGCTTTTGGGGTGCGAAATATGGCCTCTTGGACTGGAAAAATCTTATTTTGAGGCAATTCATGTTTTTTGGGGGGTGAATTTTACAGGTTATGATGCATTTCTCCATCCTGTTTGAACTCACCCCATAACACGACGGTCCAGACCCGCAGAGGCACGTCAACTTTTCCCCGGCCCGGGTTGCCATCCATGGCTGCATGAAGGTAAGAAAAAGATCAAATTCTCTGGTTTGTTTTTGTTTTTTTTTAAAATTGCATTTCTGTTTGCCCATGGCCCAAAATTCTGAGGTTTATTGCACTTGCACATGTCCCAAAATTTAACATTTTATTCCATTCGAATTCGCACGCATCCCCCAAAAATCTGTGGGTTTTGCCCTTGCACTCATCCACAAAGTAAGTGTTTTATTGCACTTGCCCCAAAATTCTAGTTTTTGCACTCACACTCACCCCCCAAAATCTGTTTTTTTCACTCATACTCATCCCCAGAGTCATTATTTTATTGCACTTACACCTGTCCCCAAATCTGCTTTTTTGGGGGACATTTACACGTGTCCTCCCCCATCCAAGGACCGCCCCCCCCCCCATCACTTCACATCTCCATGGAAACCGACCCAGGATAATAGATTTGGGTCCTCAAATTTTTAAAAAATTCAACTCCCCTCTGAGCATATTTGCTTTTTCCCCCTTTCCTCCCTCTTTTTTACCTGTTTCCCCACTTCCTCCCCTTTTCCCTTTTTTCCTTTTCCCTCTTTTCCTTTTTACCCTTTCCTCTCTTTTTCTTCCCCCCTTTCCTCCTTTTTCCCATTTTCCCTTTTCCCCCCTTTTCCCTTGTTTATTTTGCCCTATTTTTCCCTTTTCTCTCTTTCCCCCCAAATCCCCTTTTTCCCCCAAATCCCCTTTTTCTCCTTTTCCTCCTTTTTCCCTTTCCCATTCTTCCTCTTTTTCCCTATTTCCCTTGTTTATTTTTTGCCCCATTTTTCCCTTTTCTCTCTTCCCCTCCCAAATCCCCTCTTTTTTCTCTTTTTCCTACTTTTTCCTTTTCCCTTTCTTCCCTCTTTTTCCCTTTCCTCCCCTTTTCCCCTCTTTTTCTTCCCCTTCCTCCCCATTTCCCCCCCCAGTATCCCCCCAGAAATGGTCAAATTCAGCTACTACCATGAAAAAAACCAAGGCTGGGGGGATATTTGAGGAATTTCCAGACGTACTTTCACACTTCACGCTCTTTTCTGGAAAGAAATATATTTATTTTTATATATATTTAACCTTACCTGCCTCTGGTTTTTATCCGGGCCCCAAAATCTCTGTTTTTGTCCTCAAATCCTCGATGCAAATGCCAAAAGCAACGCCGGGGCAGGCGACTGCTGCTTCTCCCTTTATAATTTTTTGCAGAAAAGGGGAAAAAAAAAAAGACAAATACAGACAGCCCCAGGGGACCGACCCACCCAGCGCTTTGACATCATTTTTGGCGAGAAAAAAAGGTGAAAATGGGGAGGAAAACATTGTTTTGATTAAAGCTGGGCCAGGGGTTGATGCAAATGGCAAAAAAGGTCTGAATTACTAAATAGGGATTTTTTTATTTTTTGCCGGTGTGGTTGAAATTGCCCCAAAATTACAAGCGGGGGCGAGGGGTACAAAAGGGTGGGGATATTTTTCTGCAGAAATGGGGTGCGTTAATGGGCCAAAAAAAGGCAAAATAAAGGAAAAAGAGGGGGAGGAGGGAGGGTTTTTTTCAAAAAAAGTCCCTTTTGGGGGATGACGAATAGGGCCGGGGTGGGGGGGGGGGGGGGGGGAGGTTGTGTGTTGTGTTGTGTCGGAGCGTGTTGTGAGTGCGACATTTTGGGGGTGTTTGTGCCAAATTGTGTGTTGTGTGTGTTGTGTTGTGTCGGAGTGTGTTGTGGGTGTGACATTTTGGGGGTGTTTGTGCCAAGTTGTGTGTGTTGTGTCATGTAAGAGCATGGGGGGGGGGTGTTGTGTGTTGTGCGTTTGTGTGTTGTGCACATGCGTGCACACCTCGTGTGCGTTGAGTGTTGTGTTGCACATGTGTGTTGTGTTGCGCATGTGTTGTGTTGCACATGTGTTGTGTGGTATGCAGATGTGCGTTGTGCACATGTGGCCACGCGTAGCGAGCGTCGCGTTGTGTGCACACATGTTGTGCACGCCGTGTGCACACCTAGTGAGTGTCGAGTGTTGAGTTGCACACATAGGTTGCGCACGTGGTCACACCTAGTGTGCCCTCCTAGGCTGTGTTGACGTGTTGTGTTGCACGTGTGTTGTGTGTAGCGCACATATGTGCACACTTCGTGTGTTGAGTGTTGTGTTGCACACGTGTTGCGTTGCACACGTGTTGCGTGGTGTGCAAATGTGTGTTGTGCACATGCACACACCTAGTGTGCGTTGTGTTGTGTTGTTGCACGCACGTGATGTGTGTAGTGCACGTGTGTGCACACCTAGTGTGTTGACATGTGTTGCACATGTGTCATGTGTAGTGCATGCGTGTTGAGAGTTGTGTTGCACGCACGTGTTGTGTGTAGTGCACGTGTGCGTTGACGTGCAAAGGTGTGTCATGGACATTAGCGTGTAGCGTGTTGTGTGTGCACGCGTGTTCTGCTGCGCACGCTAGCGTGTTGTGGGCACCCCAAGTGTCGTGTGCAGCGTGCACGTGTCGTGCACTTGTGCGTTGTGCAAAAACACTTTCTCTTTAGGGAAAAAAATTCCCCTTTATGGAAAAATATTCCTCTTTAGGGAAAAAATCCCAAATTTGTGGGGTTTTAGGTGATTTTTTTTCCCGTAAAATTTGTATTTTTTGCCAAAATTAGTCACTTGGGCTCTTGGTGCAATCCTGACCTCACATCCCTACAGGAAAATGCCCATAAATGGGAGAAAAAATCCAGGATTATTACAAATAAAATGATCCCAGAGCATTTGGAAATAGTTTTTTGGCATTGTCTGCAAAAGAGGGAGAAAAAATCATAAATGCATGACACAGAGTACAAGAAATTATTAAGTTGTGCATGGAGCACAAAAAAATCATGCACACCGGCAAAAAACATATTTCATGCACATAGAGTGCAAAAAAATCATAAATCTGTGCTCATAGAGGGCAAAAAATGATAAATTTATGCACACAGAGGGCAAAACCCAGCCATTTGTGCACACAGAGGGAAAAAAAATCATAAATTCGTGCAAGCAGAAAGCAAAACTTCATAAATCTGTACAGCTCAAATAAAAAAAATCATAAATTCACACACACAGAGGCAAAAAACCCATAAATATATGCACAGAGTGAAAAAAGTAATGAATTCATGCACAGAGGGCAATAAATCATAAATTTGTGCACACAGACATAAAAAAATCATAAACGCACGGAGAGATGTAAAAAAATCATAAATTTGTGCCCACAGAGCACAAAAAAAATCACAAATTCATGAAGAGACGGGCAAAGAAAATCATAAATTTATGCCTGCAGAGGGCAAAAAGTCATAAAAGCATGCGTGATGTTAAAAAAAAATAAATCATAAATTCATGGACACAGAGGGCAATAAATCATTAATTTGTGTATACAGACAACCGCCCCATATATTCGTGTATGCAAAAGGCTAAAAATCATAAATTCATGCACATACAGTGCAAAAAAAAAAAAAATTAATGCACAAAGAGGCCAAAAAAAAAGATGAATTGATGCACGCCTGGCCCAAAACCTCCTCAAAGCGCACGGCCACGCGTGAGAAATGAAGACGACGCAGGAGCCGCCATGTCTCAGCTGCAATTTTATTGCTCCCGTATCCCAATTTTATCGCTCGACGCGTCCCGCTGGGCGACCTCGTCCTCCGCGTGTGATGGGGGATGATGGGGACGGGGACGACGGGGACGGTCCTTCCGCCTCGGACGCTTTGATTTATCTGCGGGGAGAAACCAAGAACTCAAGAGGAGGAAACGCTTTTCCGAGCAATTCTCAAATTCTCCCTTTTTTTTTTTCTTTTTTTAGGTTTCCACCCCAAAACCCCAACCTACAACCAGCAGTTGTTGCTGTTGGCGACCTCGGGCACCTCCGTGGGGACACCCGTCACCTTAAAGTTATCGACTTGGAAGACCCAACGCCCTGGGACGTTGACGTTGGAGGTCTTGGTGATGTTGATGATGGCATCAGTCTGGGAGCCAGGGATGTTGTAGAAATTGGTTTCATCTCCGCTGTTGAAGCCGGCCTGGAAAAGGGGTCAAAATGGAGGATTCAGAGGGTTAAACCCACCCAGGAGTGGGACAACCTCTTACTGTTGGCGGTGGTGTCCCCAAAAAAACCGTTACGAGCCAACCTCCAATCTTCAGGGAACCTGGTGGTGTCCCCCCAAAATGTTACGGGCCAACCTCCGATCTTCAACATTCTCGTCACCAAAAAGTGTCGGGGCCAACCTCCGACCTTTGGTGAACCTGATGTCATCCCCAAAACCACAACAGGCCAACCTCCTACCTTCGGCAAACCTCGCGTTGTCCTCCCAAAAATGTCACGGGCCGATCTCTGACCTTCATCATCTTTGTCCCCAGAAGACGATATGGGACAACCTCCTACTATGAGTGAACCTGGTGTTTTCCCCCCAAAATATTGTGGCTCACCATCCTAGCATTGACATTGTTGTCCCCCAAAATGGTAGAGGACGACTTCCAGTCTCGGATGAACTTGGTGGCGTCCCCCAAAACCATTATGGGCCAACCTATCTTCGGTATCGTCTTCTACCAAAAAAATTACGGGCCAAAGTCCTACCTGCAGTGTTTTTTTCCCCAAAAATGTTGTGGGCCAAAGTCCTTCCTTCAGCAAATCTGGTGTTATCTCAAAAAAACATTACCGGTCAACGTCCTCCCCCATTCCTCAGCTTGTCCCTTTTCCCTCTGCTTTTTCCTTCAACCCCACGTACGTGGGCCGGGGTGCCTCCGAGACCTGTTTCAGCGTCACCGTCACTTGCCGCCCCGGTAGTCCACTGGATATCCCAATAGTTGAGGATGATGAAGGACGTCTTGGTGTCGGTGGTCAGGATGGCTTGGAAGGTGTTGCCCTGCAAAAAGGAAGGAGGAGATGACACTGTCAGTGGTGGGATGAGCAGGTAGGGATGGGATTTGACCCTGAGGGCTGCACGGGGGTGTAGACTTTTTGCCCGGAGCTGTGCAAGGAAGCTCTCTTGGTGAGGTATGGCCCAATCAGGTTGGTTTTTTGGTTTCTACCTTCAGACGAGTACTTTTGGTGCTCTACCACAACCTCTTTCTCGGCATGAGGTGGCCAGAGGAACAGTGTAGTGGAAAAACTGGCTTTCAACACAGAAAAAAAATGTGAATTAATTGGGGAGTAAAAGTTTGGATGTGATGTCTGGATGACTAAGGGTAGTTGGGGAGCTCCATGGGGTTTGTGTATCCATGCAGGGCTGGCAGGTAGGACAGAGGGACCAGAGGACACACGCTCACCTCCAAAGTCACGAAGGCACATGAATGGGTGGCAAGGACCAGTGGCTGGGTCATGAAGGCCAACGAATGGGTCGTGAAGGCCAGGAACGGAACGTGAAGGCCAAGAAAGAGGTCACAAACGCCATCAAATAGGTTGTAAAGCCAACAAATGGGTCATGAGACCAACAAATAGATTGCAAAGGCCAACAAGTGGGTCATGAAGGCCAATGAGTGGGTCGCAAAGGTCAACGAGTGGGTCGTGAAGGCCAACAAGTGGGTCGTGAAGGCCAACAAGTGGGTCGTGAAGGCCAACGAGTGGGTCGTGAAGGCCAACGAATGGAATGTGAGGCCAACAAAAGGGTTGCAGGGCCAGCAAATGGGTCATAAGGACAAGAAGTGGGTCACGAAAGCCAATGAGCAGGTCATAAGGCCAACACATGGGTTGCGAGAGCAAACGAATGGGTTGCGAAGGTCAACCAATTGAGCACCTGCAGCGGAGCTCTGGTTTCGGCTTCTCTAGATCTTCAGCCACCGAATCGGTGATGGATTTGAGGCCATGATTCGCTTTGCTCTCCAAAACGCACCCGCCTGTGGCCACGTGCTTGTCTCTGCACCTAGTCAGGGCGGGATTAACTAATTTTTCATGCGTGTGACCTTATCTGGCCATCAAGTCATGACCGTGGCCCTTACCTTATTGGTGGTAGAGCCGTAGTAGGCCACGTGGTCCCAGGTGGCCACGAAAGCCCACGTGGCCGTGTAAGGGATCTTGGGGAAGTATTGGTTGATGTCCTTGGTGATGCGTGCCAGCAGCGTCGGGTCAGTGGTCTCTCGGTAGAAGACATCCCCTCCCCTCACGTTGTCCACGTCCGCCCAGTATGGGGCCACGAAGGTGCGTCCATCGGCCAGGGGGAAGGGGTCGGGGGTGTATTGGTTGACCCGGGTGTCGAAGGAAATGACACCGTTGTTGTTCACCTGCAAAAGACACCGGGTCAAGCCCAGGGTGGCAGCAACCTATGTTGGAACCCTATCACGGGGTCAACGCCTTGACTTGGTTGTGGTACCCTGGAGATGGACACGGGATCCAGATGTGGTCTCACCACTGACTTCTGCATTTCTACGACCATATCGGAGGTGTTTAGGTCGTTATTGCATCTACAGCTCTGGCAAAACGAGGGGTGGGGTATAACAACCTCAACTTGGCCATGGACCTCCCAACCACTGCTCCGGAAGGGCGTGGTTCTCCTCCCAAGACCCACCAACCATACGAGGATGCTTTGATGCACCAGAAAAAAAACAACCAACAAAAAAACCTGCTATTAAGGCAACCACGTCAACCCCATGGACGGATAGATTTTTGTTGAGGGGCAAGTGACAAAATGGACTGGAAAAGGGAGCAAAAAAAAACCCAAAAGGGGAGTGAAATCGGAAAATGGAGAGACACGCAAGGAAGAAGTGGAATTTTGGCTCACGTACGTAAAGGGATCGGTACTCCTTGCCGTAGAAGGTGAAGGGCACGGCGAGGGAGACCTTCTTTGATGACCCATCGTCAAGTTTGGGGTTCTTCTGGTCGTGCTGCTCCGGACCGTAGGGGTAGAGCAGGGATGCTGCGGGAAGGCAGAGGCTGAGGTATTGGGGACCTCATGCATTTTGGGGTGAAGCCTGCCAGATTTGGGATTCCTGATTTTAAACGGGACCGCTTTGCACCAAATTACCTAAAAATGGCGTTGACTTCTCTTGGGTGCCCAACGGTTGGGGTGACAGCGGGGCTGAAGGGAATTGCCCCATGGGAATTGCACAGGGTACAGATTTGAGGACAAACGGGGCAAAAAATAGAATGTTTGATTTTCATATACCCACGACGTAGCCACGAGGAAGCTCTGCTCCCTTCCCGCTTCCCAAACTAAACGACGCCATTTTGGGTGGAAATAGCATGTATTAATGCAAGACCCTGCACCCCAAATACCCACCTTTTTCCTGCGCCGGTTGGACGTTCATCACAGCTCCTGGAAAAGAGATGGGAGGCAGAATATTAACCCAGGAACAACCATCGCCCGTGAGTTTTCCATCTAGCAGCATCCTCAGAAAAAAACTGTATTTTTTTTAAATTTTTTTTTTTCAAACCTACCTAACATCAGGAGCAGAAAAGCGACAGAGGGCTTCATCCCAGCTCTTGCAAAATTGTCAAAAATCTGTAAAAATTAAAAAAAACCCAAACAAACACCCAACAAACTGATGAAGCAGCCCAACGATGTTCCGGAGGTGAAAGGGTTCTCATTAAAATACCACCCGACCTCTTTTTACGGCATTTTTGCCCCATGCCGTGCTGGGGTTGAATTATTTTGACCATTTTTTAAAGAAGTGCATGCCTAGGAAAGTTTTTCTTTTCATTGCTGACCGAAAGTTGGGAAAAAAACAGATTTCCCGAGTGTATTTTAACCCTTTTTTGCCTCAACCTGGGGACCGAACCCAGGGGTCTTGCCTATGGGAATCACCCCCCGGAGCAAAGCTAGGCATAAATTGGAGGGGTTTTGGTAAAAAAAAAAAACCCAAAAAACCAAAAAAACCCACCTAGGTGTTTTCCTGGCTGGAAAAAGAGAAACTGAGGCAGGATAGAGGATGCACGATGCGAACGAGGTGATTTGCTGAGCACCCACGTGCGCATTTTGCAGAACAAACTCGGGATCTGGAGCAGGACAATCCTTTGCACTGAATTTTTTTTTTTTTTCCAGGAAAATTTCTGCTTGATTCGTGCGATTTTAAGCCAATTGAAGGGAGAGCGACTGCTCGCATCCGTGCAATTTAAGCAATTTCAAGCGAGAGGGTTTAAGGGAGCGACGGATGCTCGCAGCGGGGATAAAAATCTCTTACCTCGCTATCTCGCTGCGTCCTGATTTCCCTGGGAAAAAGTGGGAAGAGGAGAAAAGAGACACCGACACGAGCTCAGCCACCAAAAAATGGGTTTTCTGTTGCATCCTGCCCCTTCTTTTAACACGCAGCCCTCCTGCCCGCCCTCCGCCACGAAAAAAAAACCAAAACCCACCCCGTAAACACGGTGGAATCCTCCAACTTTCTGCCTATTAAAGCAAAGCGGATCCGTAATCCCCTCGAGGTTTCCGAAAAAGAAGATTTCGGGACACGGGAGACATTTGGCTCCTCCTGATGTTTCTTTTTTGGGTTTTTTTTTAACCCAGATAAGGTTTTGGCAAGGAGACACGCAGTTCCCAGGAATTCCCATAAGGGGAATAATTTCTGATGAATCTCCGAAAAAAAATAAAAAAACCCAGTTCCCCCCCCCTCGATCCCCCTGGAGGGAGCAAAAAGGGGGTCACTGGGCAAAACGTGTTTTGCGGGTGCGTCGTTTCCAGGGGGGGTTGATGAAATTTTGGGGGGGTCTCAGGGGTGGGGGGGGAAGAGTGAAAAGCTCGGAAGGGTGCTGGGGACGGCGTGCGGGCGGCAGGATTTATTCAGCTGGAGGCATTTGCAGCAGCAAAGGAATATTCAATAAGATTAGTGGGGATGGTTGTGGGTCCTGCACCCGTCGCAATGTCCCCTGTGGGTCCTGCACCAGTTGCAATGTCCCCTGTGGGTCCTGCACCCGTCGCAATGTCCCCTGTGGGTCCTGCACCCATTGCAACATCTCGTATGGATCCTGCACCCATCACAATTTTCCCTGTGGATCCTGCACCCATCAGAATGTCTCCTGTGGGTCCTGCACCCGTTGCAATGTCTCCTGTGGGTCCTGCACCCATTCTGACATCTTGTGTGGGTCCTGCACCCATCACAATGTCCCCTGTGGGTCCTGCACCAGTTGCAATGTCCCCTGTGGGTCCTGAACCCATTGCAATGTCTCCTGTGGGTCCTGCACCCATTCCAACAACTTGTCTGGGTCCTGCACCCATCGCAATGTCTCCTGTGGTTCCTGCACCCATTGCAACATCTTTTCTGGATCCTGCACCCATTGCAACATCCCCTGTGGGTCCTGCACCCATTGCAACATGTTGTATGGGTCCTGCACTCATCACAATTTCCCCTGTGGATCCTGCACCCATCAGAATGTCTCCTGTGGGTCCTGCACCCATGCAACATCCCCTGTGGGTCCTGCACCCGTCGCAATGTCCCCTGTGGGTCCTGCACCCATTCTGACATCTTGTGTGGGTCCTGCACCCATCACAATGTCCCCTGTGGGTCCTGCACCAGTTGCAATGTCCCCTGTGGGTCCTGAACCCATTGCAATGTCTCCTGTGGGTCCTGCACCCATTCCAACACCTTGTCTGGGTCCTGCACCCATCGCAATGTCTCCTGTGGTTCCTGCACCCATTGCAACATCTTTTCTGGATCCTGCACCCATTGCAACATCCCCTGTGGGTCCTGCACCCATTGCAACATCCCCTGTGGGTCCTGCACTCATCACAATTTCCCCTGTGGATCCTGCACCCATCAGAATGTCTCCTGTGGGTCCTGCACCCATGCAACATCCCCTGTGGGTCCTGCACCCGTCGCAATGTCCCCTGTGGGTCCTGCACCCATTCTGACATCTTGTGTGGGTCCTGCACCCATCACAATGTCCCCTGTGGGTCCTGCACCAGTTGCAATGTCCCCTGTGGGTCCTGAACCCATTGCAATGTCTCCTGTGGGTCCTGCACCCATTCCAACAACTTGTCTGGGTCCTGCACCCATCGCAATGTCTCCTGTGGTTCCTGCACCCATTGCAACATCTTTTCTGGATCCTGCACCCATTGCAACATCTTGTCTGGGTCCTGCACCCATTGCAACATCCCCTGTGGGTCCTGCACTCATCACAATTTCCCCTGTGGATCCTGCACCCATCAGAATGTCTCCTGTGGGTCCTGCACCCATTGCAACATCTTGTCTGGATCCTGCACCCATTGCAACATCCCCTGTGGGTCCTGCACCCTTCGCAATGTGTCCTGTGGGTCCTGTACCCATTCCGACATCTTGGATGGGTCCTGCACCCATTCTGACATCTTGTATGGGTCCTGCACCCATCACAATGTCCCCTGTGGGTCCTGCACCCATTCTGACATCTTGTGTGGATCCTGCACCCATTCCAACATCTCGTATGGGTCCTGCACCCGTTGCAATGTCCCCTGTGGGTCCTGCACCCATTCCGACATCTTGGATGGGTCCTGCACCCATTGCAACATCCTCAGCAGCCTTTTTGCAAGGAGAACGTCGCAGGCGAAGGAGACCAGCTGCACGTTTTCAAGTCCTGGCTCCCCAACGTGCACCAGAATCTCCAATTCTTTGGAACTCCGGGGCAGTTTCATAACCTGACCTCCTTGGGTCGTGCCAAGGCTTGGCAGTCCCTACCCCGTCCCATTCCACGAGATTCTGCTGAATCAGCTGAAATCAGCCCTTTTCGGAGCCAATTCCTTCTCCTGCTGCTCTCAGGGGGAGCTCTGCAAGGAGATTCTCAGGAAAACGCTGATAAGCCCCGTCTGGTTATAAAAAGGGAGAGTTTGGGACCAACCCTGCAGTTTTTTCTTCATCCATCCTCACGTGTCCATGGGCTTCGAGGAGAGACGCTGATCGGAGCCTGCCGGTAAGCGATGTGGGGTTGGGAAGGGTTTTCCTTTCCTTTTTTTTTTTTTCATTTTTTTTAATTGCATTTTACCTCATCCTTTCGGGCGTGAGCCCAGCTATGTCCCATCTAAGCAAAACAAGGTGTTGGTGATGCCTTCACCCACCAAGCAGGAGTCCCAGGTGGGTTAAATTGACTACAAAATTATTTTTAAAATTTTTTTAATCCCTCCCAAGCCCAGAGAGAGATGATTTAGATAAAACCCATCTTGTAAATCCCCGTTGGGTGCAACAACTTGGGTGGGAAACCCAACAGACGTTGAGCGACGGTTGGGGATTGGCAGCTCTGAGAACGTCCAAAAAGTGGAAGGAAGGGTTGTCCATGCTATTTGGCCCCTTTTTGACCCAAATTTGGGTGATTTTTGTGGGGGGAGATTTCATCCTCTGGAAGTTTTGTGGAAGGTTTTGATGGGAACGATGGGGTCGTTGAGGTGGCATCAAGAAGGGGGTTGAAGGGATTGTTGGGTTGGATACAGGGACAACTGGGGGGTCATTGGGTTGGGGGGGGGCGTCAAGCAGGATTCGACCCCAAGCGAGTTGCGAGAAATTTCCATCGGGTAGAAAAAAGTCTTTTTGGGCCAGTTTTGGGTCAAGTGGGGGGGGAAAAAAAGTACATTTTCATTTTTGGGGTGGTTTTGGTGTTTTTTTCCAGCGATGGCGATGGGCAGGATGTGGCGGCTCCCGGCTTGGCTGGCTCTCTTCTGTGGTGAGCAACAACCCAACCCTATTCCCCTCAAAAAAAAAAAAACAAAAAACCCACAAA